GAAGGGTCGGTATCACTTGAGCCAGTTAGAAGAGCCAGTGATGGAGACTGCCTCCTTCTAAGTGCGAGGGCACACCAAGGAAACTGGAAACCGCAAAGCAACCGCAATTTCCGAGAATTGTTATCAGCCTGAGTTGAACACATGTTACTGAATTGAGGAGAACAAACTGATGGAACTGAGTTGTCTTTTCTTCAATTTGAGCTGCTCCATTCAGTAAAATGTGTTTAACTCAGGCTGATAACAGTTCTCGGAAATTGCTGTTGCGTTGCGGTTGTCAGTTTCCTTGGTGTGCCCTCACTCTAACAGGCCCAACTGAATACGATCCCGTCACTCACTTCAACGTGAGGATGGCAGCGGATCCAGCTTTCGAAAAGTAATTTATTTTTAACTTACCTAAGACATGAGGAATGTCAAATCTAATGTTTATATTACCGCCCTGTTAGTCTACAAAGTATGAAATAAAATTTCCCTCTCATGAAGCCCTTCCGCAGCCAAACGGTTTAAATTCTACACGAGAGCCGCCTCCGTATTCGAATCGTGGACCTCTGTGTAACATGGGAACAGCGACAGCATTTTCTTGGCAAATGAAACAGCAAGTGAAACCCCATAGGGGCGCAGAAGTACAAGCAATTTATAAGCTGGCGCGCAGTAGAGGACCGCCCGATGCACGATTTGCCACTAATGATTACGTCACACACCGCAAGCCCGTGTTCACTTATACCCACCGGGCATTTTGCAAACCTTCCGCAGCAAAACAGAAGAATTTACACAATGCAGCAAACTAATTTATTAAATTACTGGTTTCCCTAAATGTCAGTGTACTAACTGCGCTTTATAACATAAAACACTATCGCCACAGACCTTACATAAGACAGCGTCACGTGTTACTTTCTCGTGTATTAACCTACGTGTTGATCTGGTCGCAAATAGTAACTGATCCCATGTAAGTGCAGAAGATTAATGTTATCTATTCAATTGGAGAGTCCCTAAATCCTAGGATGGCAAGTTTTCACGCTGCCTTGCTCCAAATTTACGTCTGAAGTTAGAAATGGGGATTGGCGCCCGCTGTGCTCACTGCTCCAGCAGTGCCAAGTGAGCTGAATGAGGCATCTACTGCCGCACAAGCTAATACTGCCGGCCTCTGCGGTTTGACAGTGACACAAACTATTCTCATTACATCTGAGGCACTGCTTCTTTTTTATATTCTATGAAATTTCACGTTTCAGAATAATCGACAAGGTAATGCACGATACAACGTTGTGCTTTCTTCATCTATCTTTCTCTGAATAAACAAATGTCTCGATAACTGTGGTACATACGCAAAGAAAAACAAAAATGTATTATTGCTTGATGAACTACTGAATTATCGAGAGATTCCACATGTTAGACCGCCTCTGTGGTCTAGTGGTCAGAGATCCTGGCTACAGTACCTGAGGTTCCAGGTCCGATTCCCGGCGCTACCAGATTTTCTGAGAAGTAGCGGGTCTGGAACGGGGCCCACTCAGCCTCGTGAGAATAACTGAGTTATTTCAAGGAAATAGCGGCTCCGGGCTATAGAACCGAGATTAACGGTCGTGGGGATCCGTTGCGCTGGCCACGCGACATCTCTATCCGCTAACATTGGCAGTAACTTGGCCGGTAAGCAACGGCCACGGACTTTGTTTCGTTTTCTAGATGTTAATATCGACACCCTTATAATCACCGATTTCAGTCGTTATCGCAGTCGAAGTCAACTTTGAGCAAGTGCTATGTTTCGCCATAAATACATCAGACGGTGAGAGGATGTAACTTCATTCTCCACCAATTCTCTGTGCGTGTGCCTGTGTATGTACGAGTATGTATGTGTGCGTGCATGACTGAAGTATTTGGTTGTGAATTTACTTCTAAATTTAAATATTCAACACTTCAGAAGACGAGACCAATAACAGCTCGGCATAAAAGGCAATGAATCTAACGATTCTTACTAATTAATTTTACGTACTTACTGTCACTCATTTATACTTATTAAGATACCGAAATCTGCACTCTAAACCAAATATTATTACGATAAGTGAATCAAGGAGGAGGAGTGGGGTAGGAGAGAGTAGCACAGGTGACACGTGACAAACGCTTACAGAAGAAGACTTCTGCCCCATGAGTTTGTTCAGTCAAGAACTGCATATACGTAAAAGTAAAAATGAATAGTCTGGAGATCTTCCTTATTTAATTATGCGAACGAATATGAGGAAATTTCGGCAAAACATTATTGTATTCTTTCAGTTCCCGCAGAGTTTCGTTTAATCAGATTGTGAATTTTTAACGTGTGGCGATGGCGTTTTCGTACGTAGCACTTTTAAACTGGTACAATTACGTAGCTCAGTGTAACCCACACAATAGTACTCAGAAGCAGCAGAGACCTATTACGAAAACCAAACTGTTACTGCATTCAGAATTACAAACTTTTTAAACTGAAACGACTCTCGGGCGTCATAAACATTTATACCCCCAGCATTACTCATGATATTAGTTTCTGTCTGCTCTCCGCCTTCCAATATTCAGTCTCGTAATGCTACGGTATAATGCAGAAACATAAAAGTAAAAGAAACTTCCTTCCAAAATGATTTAGTTCCTTCAACTGGCCAAATTATATGGCATGTGTCAAGGCAATATCACAAAAGTTCAACTGATGTAGCAGAAAAAATATTCAGCTTTGCAAACACCAGACAAAGAATGCTTGCTTACTTACTTACTTACTTACTTATAGAGCTGAGCCCTTCTTGAGGAACGGCCGATTCTGCAGCTACTCAAGAATTTCGTAGCATTTTATGGAATCTGAAGTTTTATTACCGTGTCCACAAGAGCCCTCCACCGGTCCCTATTCTCAGCCAGATGAATCCAATCCATCCCATCCTATCTCTCTAAGATCTAGAACTTTGTGACGATGGTATATTGCTACAAGTATCATGTTTTCGGACATTATCCATCGTCTTGTCTATTTAAAAAAAAAAGTTCTGTTTCTTTTTTTAAAATAAATAGACAAGACGATGGATAATGTCCAAAAACATAATATTTGTAGCTATCTCTCCACTTAATATTGTCCACCCACCTACGCCTTGGTCTTTCTAGTGGTCTCTTTCTCTGGCTTTCCCACCAATATCCTATATGCATTCCTCTTCTTTCCCAGCAGAAAAAGAATAAACAACGAAAATACAAAACTTTTCAGAAGTGTGCAAGTTCCCAAATGCAATATAAGGACGGTACAAAACACGTTATGCTTTTTAGAATGTTAATTTAAACTGATACACTTTCAATGTTATAATCAATACTGTGCCTATTTCTGTGCAAGGATTAAAGCACTCTCTTCCATCGGACACCCCTTCTACACTGCCCTTTAGGAATTCGATATTTAAGCACTATTTTCAGATTATCCAGCCATTTATTCTGACACTTCTGCATCATGGTGTTCACATATCTTTCACAGTTCTTCTCTAATGTCTTTATTACGTTTATGATATCTTAATTATCTTCACTTCGACTATCGAGACGGACGGAAATGATACACAACAGTGGCCAATGCTACTACCGGTGCTAAGCCTTCGGGTTCTGCTACCGCAGTGTTAAGGGAGATTCAGGCATTGGGCGTATTCACAAATATGAGGGTAAGTTAATAAATAAGTTACAAATGCATATAGAACTTAAACAAATAAGAGTACTGATCTGAAAAATGCTTTTATTTCTCAACATAATCTCCCTGTACATTGAGGCACTTGTCCCATCATTTCACAAGCTTCTGAAAACCAGCAGCATAAAATTCTTTGGGTTGCTGTCGGAACCAGGCGGTCGCTTGGAGCAAGACTCATCACCTGTGACAATTCGGGTTAGCATACCGTGTCCTTCATCGTGGTAGCGAATAAATGCTGTAATGCCAGACCAATTCTTTGCATTTTGTGTTGTGGGGTCAGCATACGCGGTACCCATCGTGCACAGACTTTGTGAAAACCAAACCTGTCAAGCAATTTACATTTGTTCGGCCCTCTTAAACATCAACATTCGGCTGAACATTTTCCCGACGATGAAGCTGCAGAAAGGGAAGTCACTGCCTGGTTCCAACAGCAGCCCAAAGAATTTTATGCTGCTCGTTTTCAGGGGCTTGTGAAAGAATGGGACAAGTGTCTCAATGTACAGGGAGATTATGTTGAGAAACAAAATCATTTTTCAAATCAGTACTCTTATTTAAGTTCTATATCCATTTGTAACTTACTTATTGACTTACCTACGTAAAGCGACAGCGGAATGTTATTTTTAAAGTGCATTTTGTTTACTAAGCAACTCAAGTTAACAACCGAACCTGCCTAGCGAGCTGGTAAATCACATTTTGTAATGATAAGTGACGAGTCTGTAACATGCATGTATGCGAAGAGAGCCATTACTTGCAAAAACAACCGAGGGATAGAAATCCCGCTCCAAAGATTAATACACTGATTCACTGAAAGAAATGAGTAAGCAGAGAATATAAGAAGTATTTAATACTAGGAAGCAAATTACTTGTCGAGAATCCGACGATCGCTGCCTCCCACCTCCTCGTGGAATCCACAGGTTTATCACTACGTGATATAACCCCGTAACTGGATCCTGCTCTACACCAGTCGAATTCAGTCCCCACATTCGGACTGTATTTAATGAAAGTTAGACTTTAACATTATTATTTCATCTATACCTATTTCTCCCAAGTGATCATATTCCTCCAGGTATCCCCGACCAGAATTTTATACAGATCTCATCTCTCCCATTCATGTTACATGTCTCGCCCATCACCTTCATCTTGATTTAATTATCCCAGTAACATCTGGTTATCAGAAGAATTGAACAGAAAGAATATTTTCTATATAGAGATATATACGTGTATACCTCGGGAGCTGCCATAGTACTGCAGGCACGATCCAGTTACATGGCAAGAATGCCTAGCAGTGTGTGTATGCAACACAAGTTACATGCATCTAACATGCAAAGTGTTCACTTACCCCTGGCAAGGTGCGTTTCTCATGCAGAGCGTTTTGAGCGTTGACGGCGCTGTCCCGACAGTAGTACGTGAGGAATGCGCAGCCTGCAACACGGACAAACACGCGCGTTCAGAATGAACACTTAGAAATTTCACTGATCACCAAACATTATTACACGTGGCATTATGAATACCGAAATTCACACAGAGAAGTGTGTCCTGTAAATTTATTTGCATTTGTGTGAGTGATCCTAGTTGATATTCACTTGTATGTCATGTTAATATTCATAAGCTGAGTTGAGATGTCAAGAGACAAATGCAAATGTACACAATAGAAAGACACGGGAAATGCATTACTACATCCAATTTATATTGGGCAGAAGATGGTATGTTACTGACATGAGCAGCAAAGTGCAAGAGGCGTACAGTATCAACACTTTCCTTTATTTTCATAAATACAAATCTGCACGGTAGAACAACGAGGTAACAAGCAGAATCATTCATAATGACAATGTGCAAGGGGCTAATGAATAAACTGTGTGCACTTCGATATGGACTGCTATTTTAAATTCTTATTTTTGTCATTTCTGCTGGTATTATTAATATTCAACTCTTTTATTGACCGTCACAACACAACAAACAGAAAAAATCAAGGTCAGCGCCCAGCTATGGTTTCGCTACATGTTTCAGCCACTAACGGCCATCATCAGGCAAACACATATTAACAAACATATCAGTGAACTGCAGTACATTAGATTGGATTCAATGTTATTAATCATTTAAAATATGAGACAAACTCCGTCTTAAGTGCAACAATTTAATTGTAGTTCTTTCTTCTTCCCTCATATATATTGTGTGAGTGTAACAGGATGCTTAAATATAACATTTAAAATACTCTGCGTAAAAATACAATAAGTCAGATTATATAAAAAACTAAAGGTTATTGTATAAAACAAGATAAAATTTAATTGATGTTATATAACATCGAATCAGTCGTTGGTTTTTTACTTTTCATATGTTTACATGGACAAATTGGAAATTCAATATTTCTTTTATATAAGAATGTATAGGACGCCCATGATGTTGCAAATTAATTAATCTGAAAATGATATGAAAATAATAGTATTAAATTTTGTCATAATTAATAATTGATTTTGATATTGAAGATATAGTATATATTATTACTTACTGTACAGTCGGTGCCTCATCTTACGAAGAATTGCTCGTACTGTATGGGAAGTAAACGACTGATTTGGTGATGCAGGATTAAAGTCAATGTAAGGGAGGGAGGGGACAGGTAGAGATAAGGTGTATGCAGGAGTGAAGGTAGGGGGGGAAGAGGGTATAATTGTATATTATGTTCTGTATGTATCAATTATTATATCGTATATAGGGTTAAACATTTCAGTAAAATTATCATTCAGTTGTAATTTTTGTTTGCTGATTTCGTAATTGTGATATATTTGGTATGTATCCAAGGTTCGGCCTTTCTTGCCGATATATAGAACTTCCAATGTTTTGTTTATCGTACCATATTCATGTGTGGTGTCCAATACATGCTGAGCAAATTGGGAACTTTGTCCGTTATTTTTTATGTCTCGTATGTGTTCTTTGAATCTGACCTTAAAGGTACGTCCAGTTAAGGTCAGATTCAAAGAACACACACAATTTGCAACATCATGGCCCTCCTACACATTCTTATATAAAAGAAATATCGAATTTCCAATTTGTCCATAGAAACGTATGAAAAGTAAAAAATCAACGACTGATTTGATGTTATATAACATCAATTAAATTTTATCTTGTTTTATACAATAACTTTTAGTTTTTTATATAATCTGACTTATTGTATTTTTACGCAAAGTATTTTAAATGATTAATAACATTGAATCCAATCTAATGTACTGCAGTTCAATGGTATATGTTTGTTAATATGTGTTTGCCTGATGATGGCCGTTAGTGGCTGAAACATGTAGCCAAACCACAGCTGGGCGCTGACCTTGACTTTTCTGTTTGTTGCGTTGTGACGGTAATAAAAGAGTTGTATACTGTAACACAACAGGATGCACGAAATGAAAATTATTATTATTATTATCATTATCATCATCATCATCATCCTTTCCGCGTGGGTTCATTAAATCTAGCCGTACCATCACTCATTCATTCACTCATGGAGCTGGGCCCTTCTTGAGAAGCTGCCAATTGTGTAGCTATTCAAGAACTTCCCAGCATTTTATAGAACCCGAAGGTTGATTACCGTATTCACAAGAGCCCTCCGCTGGTACCATCACCAATACTAAATCATTTTGATTTTATTATCATTTCAACTGGCTCACAGCATCAAGCTATTTTGATATAAGCAATGCATTCGACCTCGTCCCACATTCTATGCTTCTTCATAAGCTTGGTGCTTTTCGGCTTTCAGGTGGCTATATAAATTGGTTTTGCAGTTACTTAGCCAACTGGAAAACTCATGTCCGTGTTTCTTATTTTATTCTTTGCCTTTTGAAATAATCTCAATGTTCCTCAAGGATTTGTTATGGGACCCCCGACTTTTAACGACCAATAAGATGCTGTTAGCAACTTTAACTTTTGCTGATGGTAACAAAATCTATCGCGAAAATTATATCTCCTGAAGACAGGAATATACTACAGTCTGACACAAATCCTATACAAGGTCGGTTCACTACTAACTGTAGGAAACTGGTCAGTGTCAAAGCTAAAGTGATACCCTTCTTATGCAAAACCAACTTACTAACGCAGAAATATGAACTTCATGAATCTTCAGTTATAAACGGCACCGACTCTATTAAAGATATGGGGTATACTTCTAGATTAACTTAATTTCCATAATAACGTCAAATATATTTTCACAATACATTGCCTCGTTGGGTCTAGTTCACTGCATAACCTTCTCTTTATTTTCCCATTGACGACTATATCTATTATATTTCACAGCACTTAGATCTAAGAATGAACTCGCCTCTGCTGTTTGGAAGTCTATTACGTCTGCTGATACCAACGAAATGGAATGCAGCCAGCCCTTCATTTTAATCCTCTCGCAATGACCGTTATAATTACGCTTGTGCTTGTGCTTAAGTAGTTAAAATTGCGCGCCTTGTATAAGAGAGGGCACCATACTGACTTACCGTTCCTTTTCAACTTTATCTTGGTTCTAAATTGTTTTTTTTTCTCTTGAAAACTGCTGATCTTAGAGTTTCCACTTGGTATATCAGAAAAATGCCTTTGTTCAATTGTCTCCTCTTCAAGTGTATGAATAATCAGCCTACCAGATGCGTTTCAGCTGATGATGATGTTTTCAGGTACGTTGACGTATTAAGAACGAAAACTGTTTTTCTCAATCGTAACGTGCAGCTGTATTTTCTCTTAGTAAAATATTAATTGTACTCAATAACACTGCGTGCAAACGTTTCTCTTCTCGCTGCATAACTACTGGAGCGATTGTATTTACAAAATATTTTTGTTGTCTACATGAGAGAAGTTGCCTTCTTTGTCTTTCATCTTTGTTTGTGAGTACGTTTCATTCTTTGCTCCTTTTTATTTCATAATTGACCTTCGGACTCTTTAATATGCGCATAAGTAAACAAATGACTTAATTTAACTATCATCATTACTATCAGCAACTACATAATGCAGATATCACTTGCCAACATTATGGATTAATCATAATGAAGCTATGCACAAAATGGAGTCGTGTGAATTAATATTAAAATCTCTATTACATTCAAGTGAAGGCATATTTTGTGTCACATGTGACTAGCTGTCATTTGAGTGTAACACGAATCCCCATATTTGAATGTGGAGCGGAAAGTCGGAATCAAATAAGTGGACAACGCTTCTAAACTCGGATGCGGAAATTTGGAGGGTGGTTGCTGACCGAGATGCGAAATCTTCACGAAAGTGCTCCCTGCGGCGGCAGTTTTTAAATTTGGATTTTTGATCAGCTGGTCAATAAATTTCGTGTTTTTGTGATTCCAGAGTATTCATTATCCCTTTCGTAATGACCTTCCACTGATCTCTGCCCTGTCAGATTCATCTAGTTCAGGGGTCCTCAAAATGTGTTCTACAGCGACATCCTACATAATGAACAGACCTATTCAACACCTCCCCCAAATTCCTCTGGTGAGCGAAGTGCACTTCTGTACATTATTTCTACATTTTACAAGGCTGTACGGGAGGTGCGGGAACATAATTGCAAACCCCTCTACGCCAATAGTAAGCTATAAATTGTTACTGTACAGCCACTAAAATATTCGAGAAAATTCGTCGGTTGCTGATACTTTTCCCGAAAGTACTTACATTAAAATATACTGACTTGTCGAATCTTCACGTGGATACAAATATGTTTTAAATAATTCTTCAGAACTTAGCGAACTCCTTAGAGGAAGTCGTGAGCCCCTAGGGGCTTCGACCCACAATTCTATAAACCATTATGTAGCCCAGAATCTCACTCAAAATTTCTATTCCAACCATTTTACTGTTACTTTTCTTATTACCCTTCCATTACATTGTAACATTAAATACAAGGACACACATAACCAATTTTCAGTTTTATGAACATCTGCAATGAAGAAAAAACAGTCGGAATCATAATTTGCTTGTGTCAAAGAAAATGATGGTTATTTAACGAAGATATGACAGAACCTGAATATAGTTTGTACACCCTCACTTGCGACTTTTTGCTGCACATTCGTATAAAGTAAGGGAGTGGAAAGGAACGAGAAGGGGTATGGTTTCTACTTCCGGTCCCTAGAGGTCGTCCATCTTTGTCCCGCCACAAAATGACTTCATTTCCGGAACCGCAGGGAGGCAACAGCGACGCTAATGAGCCCGGGGAAGAGAGGGAATGCTGGACTTTCTTTCCTCTCTTTTATACATTGCGCAATAGGCCCATGTGTAACAGCGTGACGTGGTATCTGCCTCATCTTCAGAATGGTCCGTGTTCGGCTTCATACTATTTAGTTTTAATGATAAAGCCCTATATTTCATGGGATTCTAACTAAAATGGTTAATGTACAGGACACGGGTAGAATTATGATGTGCCCTGCGTCAAAACGTCGAGAGATCAGCCTGTCACTTCATAA